CCCTTTTATTTCCCACACTTTCTCTTGATTTCTATCGATCGACCTTAAAGAGCAAGCCAAATGTGGTATCACACAGGATCTTCAAGTCTCCTAATGACTGAAAGCGGCTGTTTCTTCCAATTATATTGTTAACGGCACGAACAGAACGAGCTTGTACTTTGAGATTCAGCGTGTCGGCTGTTGCTTACTGTAACATTCATTGTCCACTGGACACTGTTCATCAACAGATTAGTAATATTTTGCTCTTTAAGGTCGATCTTTGACTGAGCTTCATTTGCTTTTATGTCGCTTTGTTATCACCTATGCGCTGCCGTTATCACTGTGAGAAACTGACAGCTTGAACGACAGCATTTCCCATACTGATAATATATTATCCAGCAGAAACTGTTCTTCATTGATATTAACCCTTGTTGTCCTTCTACTTTATCTTATATTCCATATGTCCTTCCTTCCTTTACGTTATTTATTGTTCAAGAAAGGCATATTTTTACACCCCACTGGCTTTCTGTTTTCTTTTCCGCTTCGTAGAATCAAGGCCGACACAGTTGGATTCTAGCAAATCTTAATCTGTTGGATATCATAATATCTTATACTTTATTGGCATTCAGTGTTTCGGCCTTTTGGAACAAGGGCTGCAGATTTTAGAGTTTCTTTTTGGAATTCTTCTGCCATAAGTTGCGTTTCTCATCTAGCAGATTTGTGAATATATTTGTTTCGTTGGAATGATATTACCATTATTGTTCTCCATTAAGACGGATTATTACAAAACTAGATTTCATCGGTTTTTATCAAACAAGCTGCACAAAGTTTGCCACCATTTCCTGATCGCATTCATTAATAACCTGCCAGATCTATTCTTTTTTGCCCAAGACTTCATTCTCCGTTCAAAGAGTATGCAGCCTGATGAAAAGCTTTACTATACTTTCTTAGGTTTTCAGTTTGAACAGTGTTTCAGTCCTTCCGTCTGATTTTATAAACCGATTGGCCTTACAAAACTACTTCAAAGGCATCAAGATCTCTATCATGCCTAACAGGAGATTCGTTGCTTCTCCACTTTTAGGTTCATTATATGACTTCCAGCATAGCTACTAGAACGGCAGAGGCGTATTCCGTTGGTATACTGTCTGTCTGTCATGCGATCAGCACTTTTTAATTATCTGTCATCCTTGACGAACTGCTACGTTTTGATTGATCCTGATTCTCAGCCTTGAAATATCGACCCCTTTAAAGCGCTATGAAAAGTTGTTGTTCATACGGAACATTCTGAGAGCGCGATGGGTCCATTGAATGAAGAATGAAAAGATTTTAAACACTACCGGTCAGAGAATGCTGTCTGAAGAAATCAAGAGCCGGCATCTGTCGTGGTTTGATAGAACCATCCAGAGATAGAACGGGTATCAGCCAAAGCCATTTTTGTCTGGGAGGAAAAAACTGGCCAACAAATCACCCTCACGCAGCTGCTAGGTATGGACTTGCTTCCGATAAGGAACATGACCTTTCCCGTCGCAACCAACATCCCTTAAATCATTCTGAAAAGTCAAAGCCTCAGACATTAATCTAGGTACTCTTTCCTTGATCTTGATACCCGAGATAACGATGACAATAGCAAAAAAATTTGATTGTGGCCAGTTCCTCCTTTTTATCAGGGTATGTTGTTATCGCTCAGAGGTGAGAATTTGGTCTTATTTCACGTTAGGTTGTAATTTTTGTTACTGTTGAGAACCTTATGCAAGAGCGATAGAAACTTATGACAGATATTTGTCGAAAGACGTAGTAACTGGAGAAGAGTTCATAACGATACTTGCTTTAATTCACCGTTCGTGTTGAACCATTGCAGATTGATTTTCAGTGCTTACTTCAATTTTGATTTATTGTTGCTATTATTGTACGTATATGTAAGCGTGGCAGTACCTTAAATACTCTGCTGAACCTATCTATCTTCCATTTAGCAGGCTGAGTAACTCCAAGGATATGGATAAGTATTACCTGTACATTCCAGTAGCATTCCCTTTTCCATTTTAAATCATCATAATTACCATGTTTTGGACATAAGGTCAAATTTTCAGAAAAAGCTTCGCTCTCACAAGGCAGACTATCTTCGCGAAGTTACGATCAAGCCTTCCATGAAGCATACCCATGGCTAAGTGGCTTAACTATTTTGAACACTTGGCATTGTCCTGGCTGGAATTCAGTCCGTGAGATTTTTCTGTCGGTGGAGGCTCATGACGCTTGAAAAAGCCTCCTGAAATGGCTTTGTCCCTGACATAAAAAAATAACCTGCGTTTAGTATATGAATAGTTCTGTAGCTGCTTGTATTCTAAAGAGGTTTTTGATGAACATGAACGCTGTTAAGATTTTTATGAATGGTAAATTGGTTCATTGTCGGGTTGATGATTTCTGTTTATGTTTGAGAGAAGTAGGCGAATAATTATTAATCATGGTAAACGTTTAAACATGTCTTTTTTTGAGTGGCTTTGCATTTTTAACTAGTCATGAAGAATCATGTTCTAAATGGGGGGGAGCAGTTATGTACTGGGAAGTTTTTAGGGCGTGCATACCAGAATGGCTGATTTAAATCTGGCCACAACTTAAATTTTGCTTATCACTTCTATTTCCCTCCAGTAAGAAATTCGCCCCACTGTTCTTTGGTGTGACTGGTCTAGAAATGGATTGCAAGCTGATGATCTACAAAAATGGGACAATATTGGATTTTTGTGTGGTCATATTATACCTTGCGCCTTGGCCTCTGAGTGCGAGACCGAATGAATACAAGGCCTCAAAACAAGTTCAATAAGTAAATTAAAAATCAAATTACACGTTGAATTCTAATTTAAAAAATCATCGTTTAGTGTTTAATTTTTTCTGTTTCTAATTTTAATTTGATTTAAGATGTTTTTCTTTAATGATTGGTGGTAAAAGAAGATGGCTTCAAATTTGAGCATGACCGAAGAGGAATTTTTCTCCGGATTATTGCTTTGGGTAGATACAGTTTTTTAAATGTATTTTGTCACGTGAATGTTTTTTAAGGTATCGTCTATGAATCCTGATCAGCCTGTACCATCAGTAAAATACCTGAGCTGTGGAATTCCGTTTGCTATTGCTTTAAATTCAGTGTATATTTATTGATGAAATGTTTTTCATTTCGGTTGTGAGAAATGCCATTTTAGCGATTCGAAATATTTTTCGTCAAATTGGGTGACGAATATTAAGGAAGTGGTAAGCGAAAACAGTTACTGGCAGCTGAAAGCAAAGTGTTTTAAAAGAATTCTTAAATCATGTTTGGATTACTACGGGCACATTTGCGGGTACATGATCGGTAAAATGTATATACCGGATGCCGTTTTGGCCAGTAAGTTTATGGCTTTTTATTATAGTTAATTTTATCTTATGCAGAAGTGTAATGTAGCTTAACGTTTTGCAGTCGTTGAATTTAATAATGAACTACATGTTTCACTGCGCAGCATAATGATGCTGTAGATAGTTAGCTAGGGCCAGATTTCGACTGGCCTGCAAGGCATTTACAGTTGACATGCTGGCTTGCTAAAATTACTGCGGATAAACCGCTCTTCGTCATTAGACGATACATATCCAAGTATTAAGGTCTCTAAAATTAAAAATAGGCTAATATTAAAAGTTGAGTAAGTGACCGGCGTTAGGTCAAAAATTCCAAATCAGCTGAAAATAGTATCCGGTAGTGTCTCCTTCTTACTCCTTCTTACAAAATTGACCTCGTTAAAATAAATCTATTGCAACGACATAAAAGGTAGACTTTCGCGAATGACTCGACGTAAGCCGTGCTTGTTTAAGACTAAATCATGTATAAAAACGATTTATTCATACAGTGAAACTGGTATTTTAAAGAAACTGGTCAGTTGAGTGATTTAACTGTGCCGACTGTGTCGATTCACGTCTCACGGGTTTTCTTCAGGGTGGACAGAGTTGACATAACCTTTGTAGCCAAAAACGAACTCACACATTGCTTGACAAGACCTCTTGTCTGAACTCAAACAAACTGTTAATGTTTTCTGTAACGCTCTTCAAAGCAGTTTTCTATTGATATATTTGTGTATTTTGTAGCTAGAGACGAAAACAAGGTTGAACTTACAAAAATGATGAAGATAATTCTTGCCGCTGCCGTCGGCAGTCCGAGGGGTAAAGGTATGTTGTACGATTGCTTACTTCCCTTTCTTCGCCTCGCGGCGTATAGCAAGGTGTAAACATGCTTTAGAAGTTATCGAGAAGATCATGACGCTTCAAAAATCAATCCAACAAATCGTTATGATGTCGATAAAAGAAGTAGCCACAGTTTTCTACATTCGGTTGTATAGATTTCCAATTTAATGAATGTTTTTAGTTGGACGACACGAAAGTCAGTTTAACAGCGGAGCCAATCGAATTATTTGACGTTGCGTTATTTGAAAATGTAACTGGATCAATTTAATATGATAGTGTCACAGCTGGAGGTCTTAACTTAATGTCTGTATGTTTATAGTCAAACGCATCTGAAGTTAGCGGAAGCCCAAAGGTGCTGCAGGCCGACCTCAACGAGGCGATGGAGAAGTGCGAGGAGCTAGAAAATCAGGTACAGAAAACCGTCCGTCCTGGCAATGAATAATATGGTACCGTAGTTCTCATTTTTTGAATGTGATTCTCTAACCAACGAATAGAACTACAGCCATGTCGCTTCCAATGGCCTTCTTTCTCACCGTGATAGCACACCTTTCCTGTTGAAGGCTTCAGTACCCATAACATCTTTCACAGGCTTTCCACTGAGCCTTCGATCAGAGTAAGATTATGAAGCAGAGACGCTGTTATTGTATTTATGAATTTTACTGAGATCTAGGTTGAAGCTTTGATGGGCCGAATCTTTATGATATGCGCCTTATTAGCTTTACCGTAAGGGAATTCCTTTGCGGTCGAAGCTTTTAAATTATGAAGGCAAGAGCTGTTGTTCCTTCTTCTTTCTGTTAACTTCCTTATGGATTTTTAAATAGACGCCTTCTTTTGATAATGGCATAGAATTGTGGCTGATAGAGTGATGTCTTGGTTGCTTATTCTTCGCCGATGTAGAGCAAGATGCTTTATTTGTATCAGAATGTATCTACCATCCTAAATATTACCACAAACCTTACTTGTATACAAACAACACAAACAGGACGTGCCGTTTTCAAGAACACAGCATTCATTAGCTTATGCCATTTTTGCAGTAGAAATGTTACATTTGCGCGGTTCTGATTTATATCGTTTCGCTACAATATCATTATCTAATAAAAATATTGCTGCACTATTTTTTGTTTCGATAAAACGTCATTTTGATTCAAGCAGCGGCTGCGAAATAGTCGGCCTTTTATGAACACCTTTGTATAGATTTCACAAACAGCAGTGCTGCACAGTGCGTCTTATCTTGGTATGGCAGTAATGACACATTTTTAATTATACATCGCTCTACTCCTGGTTCCTGCCAATAATAAATTTGAAATGTAGGTCTGGTAGTCGTCGATTATTTGCTGACGACGGGCGAGTGACTCCTGCGCGTTTTCTGTTCGCAGACCATGATGGGACTATCCAGCACCGATCGCGGCTGTCGTTGCTCAAGCAAATAAGCTTGATTGATATGTTTAATCGAAATGAAAGCAGATGCACAGTTAAGGGCTATGTTTTATCACCTATCATTTTTAAATTTGATAGAATAATATTTCACACCTTCCTTATCGACATCACGAATTCTAACTTTTATCCAGCGTCTATTTTTTCTACTTAGTATCCATACGCGTCTTATTCTCCCTACACTGTATTTTTTTAACGAGTTGGCTGTCTCGACATTTTGAGTTTTGGCGAGATGTTCGTTCATTGAATGCAGCTTTGTATCATTAATTGTAACATCTCACCACCTTTCATTTCGCTTTCCCTTTAATTTTTTCCTTTATATTATCAGTTGTCAGGCCCAGTTGCTTCAAATATTCATTTTGTATGGCTGAGCTAACGGCGTCTCCCTAAGGCAACTTTATCGTCCTTGTTATTTTCTCGTTACATCAATTTCAACAATCACTTTCCTACGGAGTACCGACGTTGCACATACTCTGGAGTTTTACCTAACATTCATCACCATACAACGTCATATACTTATGCGATTATTTTGGCCTTCAGCTTGAGGGTAATTTCTTGTCACAGCGTTCTTCGCTCACCTTAATTTGAGTCAAATCATTTATCATCTATTTTATAAAAATTTCCTCTCGATTTTTCCTTTACATATTGTATGATGGAACCAAAATATTTCGGTGTTGGAGTTGTAGGCTGGCGATATATCTCTGCCTTCATGAATTTAATGTTTTCTCTATCCCCGCTGCTGAAATACCGCTAGCAGATCCTTTTGATACCTGATCAGTGATATTGGGAATTTCAAAACTAGTGGTCCCCTTTACGCCACTTGAATGCTCTTAGAATGTCCATTCTACTAACATAGTCCAAACCTGTGCATTTAGATCGCCATCGCTGTAAGCAGAAAAGCTTTTTCATCTGGTAATTCATGGTGTCTTGTTGATATTAGATTTTTTGTTGATACTCTTCACTGTTTAGCCTTAACGATGTTCATAGTTATCAGGAGTAAGGTGATGCAGAAATCATCTGATGATACCAGTGATTTTTTGAGAATTTTTCTACAAGAATTTCAATGTCATTGATTTTGAGATTGATATTTTCTCGTCACACAGTGACCTTGATTTATTGATTGTAGACATCATTTTCAGAGGAACTAAACTGAATCTGTTTCACTGCTTTCTGCTTAGAGTTCCTGAATTTCAGGTTTTGGCATCGTACAAGTTGTCTATTCTAATTGATGAGAATCTGCGACAAAAATTAATCCTCTTTAACTTTCATGCGAAATCCGAAAGTTCCATTGCCTCGTTAAGGTTGAAAGATAAGTGTTTACTTTACTAGGATCCAGAATTTTATGTCTGCTTTTCAGATGAGGCATTTCGATACAAAAAATGGCTGCATTTTTTATCAAATTGGTGCAAAATTTTTACAAGGTGAGTAATTTTTGTCCCCTATTTCTAGCCCCTACCACAGCAGAAATTATCGATTTTTTGAAAGTTTGTTACGAAACTTAACTTGCGCTAATCTGAGCTGTTTGATTTACTTCACTGCTGTATGATTTAATAGAACTATTCAGGATTCAGTGTCATCCTGCCATTCAATTGTCTGTTGTTTCGAGGATTTTGATTCTAATTCGTTAAACCGAATATAGTCAATGTTCTTCATGTTTTAGGTTTCCGCCTTGCAGAAAGAAAAGCATCACATTCTCCAGGAAAATGAATCTCTGAAGGCCAAAGTTTTTGGCAAAGTTGAAGTTTATGAAGAAGACGAGTAGGCGATTCAGTAATTTTCATGCATATCAAGTCTTTGATCATCCTGCCATTAGTAGATGTTGCTCTTTCGTTAATTCTCACAGTAAATTAAAAAGTTTTCTTCACATTGTCAATCTCTTCCACCCGAAAATTTCATAGGTCATGGTCTCATCCTCATCTGACGCATTCTGCACTTTGTTTCTGGTAGCATGTTGGGGGACAGCTGTTTATGCCATTCTGCTCAGTGCTTGGTTTTAGGCAGCTTTTACAAAGGCTTCCGTTGCATAATGATGTCTACTTCTTGATGACCAGTTGAAAGTGTGGCAAATGTCTTCGCTGAGTTGACAAAGATATTGTTCATCATCATCATCATCATCTTCCATCGCCGCTTCTCCTTTCGGGTCGCGGAGGCAGACGCGTCAGACA